TATATATATATATATATATATATATATATACATATACATGTATATATATATGGGGTGGATAAATAATAATTATACAACAATAATCTCATAGGTGATTCTATCTTCTGTTTGTGTTCAAGGCCTTACTAACCCTCAAGAATCCCCCACCACTGGGTCAAGTGAGAGTGTTAGTAATACAGAACAGTGATATGACAGGTAACCATTAGGAGAATCAGGTAAAGAAACTTCTCTAAGAATGGTAAATGGACCCACATAACTATGAGGAGAATGGCAAATCTATACACATACTCCGATTTGACTTCCATTTTTAAAGTCACCCAAGAACAGGCTTTCTCACCCCAAACGAGATCTTTCTGCTAATTTTTTTAAAACATAAAACCTGCATGGTCCATATTAAAACTCAAAAAGACATGAGAATGATGGGCCATCTCATAAAATTATAAAAGTCCTCCAAAATATTAAGAAATTCTCTCTGCTGGAAACAGCTGAAGCCGACACAGTGGACAGACTCATCCAGCCAGGGACAGGCAACAGAGCCAGGAAGCTTCAGAATACCACAGAATGTTCCACGTGATTGAATGAGAAACTCAGCTGTAATCAGTTGTCCAGAAGAATCAGAGAGTGTGAGGGAAGCCATTTTAGTCTATGTCAGGCTATAACAAAAATGCCAGAAACTGGATGACTTGTAAACAACAGAACTTTATGTGTCACATGTCTACAGGTCAGAAGGTTAGACTGGCCATGCTGTATGAGAATCCTATTTTGGGGTGAAGAGTGATAACTTTGGTTTGCTTTTTCCCCTGCCAGGACCCTTCTGCGTCCCTGAGCACTGATTCTATTCATTAACGGCTCTACTTTCATGACATATTTGTCTGCTGAAGGAGCTGTCACATTTGAAGTTTTGAATTTTAAAATACATATTTTGAGGCAACACAAATATTCAGGACACAGCAGAGGTGACTTTGATTTCACCATACAAGCAGGTGCTGCAAAGAAATTTGACTTAAAAAATTTTGTCATATGAGTAGAAAGTTAAGCTTCTTTTTTCTGATCAGAGAGACTGAGGCTTGAACGTGTTGTACAATGAGAATAGTTTCAGTTCTGGCAAAAGGCATGAGCTGGACATTTCTGGTTATTACAAGAGTTGGAGGAAGTCACATAAAAGAGATGAAAAATCTATCATTTTTCTTATTTCTCTCTCTTTCCTTCTGTGTGTCACACACACAGACACAGGCTTACACACACATACACATACACACAGATACATGCACACACACAGAAAGAGAAGGAGAGGAAAGGCAAATTAGTTTGTCCCTAAGAAGAAAAAGATGATCAAATATCCTTTGTCAGGCATCCCAAGTTAGAGAATCAGCTGCTTATCGGCTGCCTGAGTAAAATGCATAAAAGTCATTAAAACTACTCAGTTGAGTCTTAAGTGTGCATCTATAACTCCTTATTCTCACCAAAGAAGTCTCCTATCAATGTAACTACTCCCAAGAATATATTATTCCATAAAACAGTCTCAAAACCAGGCAATATATCAGAAATATATATAGTGAGATATATATGTATATAAATATGCACATTTATATTGACTCGACTCAAGGTGTGTCTGGGAAGCAAAATCCCACCTTTCAAGTGAATTAGAACTTAAACAATGAATGATGCATGATGCATAAGGGATACTTAGTAAATATTTGTTAAAATTACGTGGACAGGTGTGGTAACCAGCCTCCCAAGCTGTTGCCTTTGTCTACTCTCAGTAATGCTTGGTTTAAAGAGGCTGTTCTTACATAATTATCCAACAAAATACAATTGAGGAGGATGTGTTCACTCAAAGAACAAGGCTACAAAGCCTCACGCTTTCACTGCTGAGACAGTAAATAAGTAGTTTGAATCCATGAGACTTGGAGCAGAAGAAAGCAAGAAAACACAGATGTTAGGGACCGCTGGAGTGCCTTGCCATGTCATGCATATGTCTGCATGTGACGCAACAGCGCTTGTGTAAATGTGCAGTTAACTCAAAACACCTTTGTGAAAAAGAAACCACTCCGTTTTCCAAAAAGGAGTGTTGAAAGAGCACAGAAGTTGCTATCTGGATCTTTAAATGAGGTGCAGCGTAGTAGAGGACATTGGAATGGTTTTGCCTTCAAAGCTACCAGGCTGTTGCTTGCCGTCATATTTGACCTCACCATTAGTATTAATTTTTTTTGCAAGTAGAATTCTATTTAGAAACTCACACATTCATTAACTTACCAATTGTTTATAGTTGCTTTTAAACAGACTGGCAGAAATAACAACAGAACTTACCTGGCCCCAAAAAGATGAAAATAGTTACTTGTTCTTTCCAGAAAGTTTTCTAATCCCGGCCTTAGAAGAAATAAAAGCTTAAATCTAAATGTCTGGGGCTCCGTTTATGGTGCAGAGGGAACACAGAAAAAGATGAGCCCAGGTTTGAGGGTTTGTCTGAGCTGTGTTCATCTGTGATCATAAGCCAGTTGCTGTGCTTCTTTTAATAATCTATAAAATGAGGGTAGCAAATGAAGACCTAAAGAGAAACTGAGGCCGCCACAACTGACGGTGAATTTCTTCACCTGAGTCTCATATTCAAGTTGTTATTGTTAAGCAGAACACTCAAAGAATTTTATCACGTTCCCTTTGTAACTTTTGCTGGCGCTTTAACACAAGAAAGCATTGTACTTAAAAAGAGAGGAATACTGTTAAAAAATCTTACTGGCTCTGAAAGTTCCCATCTTCAGGCATTTAAGTGATTGGGGAACGCTGGTCTAATTCCTTCTTTCTACCATTGTGATTGGCAAATACAGATGACCTCCCCAAACCAGAAGTTACTTTCATTTCACAGGAATTTTCCCAGATGACACCGCCATGTTAATCGCTATGGTGGCTGTGTACGGTTGTGTAATCAGTTTCCTAACAGCCCCGAGTTTCTTTTCTTTTATAGCACAAAAAAATCAAAACGATTGAGAGTTTCTGAAATCACACCAGCCACCTTACTCAGCACTGAAGACTCTGAGCTGATGTTTTATTTTGTGTTTAAACCGCTTTGAGGGTCAGGTCTAGATAGAGGGTCTCTCTTTCCCAACCCTCACACTAACTTTCTGGGAAATAGATCCATTTTGCTGAGACGCTAGGTTCCTCTCCATTGTGGTTCCTAGTGAGCACCAGTGCCCTTTTACAAGCTAATTCTGAAATCTTCTGATTCCAAGTCTGCCAGAGAACAGAATGTTACAAAGTAGCATTAAAAAATAAATTTTAAAAAAGCATGGAAAGCTAAAACTAAATCATAATAATAACTGGCTTTAGTGGCCAGAACAGCTGCGCCCCTCTCCCTGATCACAGCCTTCGGCTTCGTCAATTAATTCATCTGTAAATAGTGCAGTGGTCTCCAGATGCAACTTCAATGCTTTCGGCTTCTTAAGGATTTAAGTTTAAAGGCAAAGGCTTTCTGCCCTAGGTGTTACAACTAAGTAGTGTCCTTTTCGGGTCTGCCCGAGTCTGTTCATCCAATCATCTCCCGATATGCAAATAAACCTTAGCCCGTGCAGATAAAAAGGAGCAAATAAAGCCAAGTGCTCTATCAGAAACCAATTGCTGAGCCTGTCACCTGTATTCCAGGAACCGACGCAGAAATGTCCGCAGCAAAACCAGACATACCTGCTCCACTGGACAACGTGAAGTATGAATACACTAAGGTTAGTATAACTTTGTACAAGCTGCTTTGCCTTGGGTTTGTAAAAAGTCCATCTCTTGTTAAAGCATAAAAAAGGTCAGTTTAGCCAAACTCTGTAAAGAGCCCTTTGTAAATGGAAAAAAAAAAGGCTTATAAACTACAGGTCTAGTGACCTATTCAAATTGGGAATTTAAAATCCCACCAACTTGTCATACATTCATTTCTTCAGATTTCTGCAAGTGATAGTAAGTCTGTTGTGTGTGAAAGGTTCTTACACTGGAAGTCAGCGGACTTTGCAAAACAGTTCTGTTAACTTCAGTGCAGCCTGCACGTCTGATAAGTCAGCAGAAAGGCATTAGAAGAACTTATTAAAACAGCCAAGCAAGTGGGATATATTGGTTGCCATAAACAGAGAAACGGAGCATACTTTTCAATATATTTAATAAAAATGACAGAATCAGAGGACTTAAGGCTGAGAATGGAATGAAGACTTTCAAAAAAAACTTCAAATGAACTTGTATTATTTTGCATATTTGCAGAAAGAAAGCACGCTTCGTTTTCCAGTCAGTTTGTTGCCATTGGAGTGAATGTGTAATTGTTAACTGATAAATATTTAGAGCAACAAGAACAAGAGACAGTGCCAAACTTCAGACTCTGCACTAGGGAGAAACAGCAAATAGAGTCTGCTGGAGTTGCGAGTAACTCTTATTTCAATTATGTGTCTGCTTTCCTCATGCATCCCGGCACTCCAAAACAAAGAAGTCAAATAAAAAGCAATCTAATTCAAACTATTCAAAATTAGCTTTACGGTGTGCATACAGAAAGTAAAGTAATAAACTGAAGGAGTTTAACTCAAGGGAGAGTTATTTTGCTTTTGGAACTAACCAGTGAAAAACCAAGACCATTAAAACTCATGATAAAATGTAAGTCTCCAGTATGTGAGATTTATTTCATTACATGTAATTGTGGTTGGTTTTGAAATCCTAATGCCCGTCACATTTTGAAGCACAGTAAGTGCTCAGCTCTTTGGCTCTTTTCCTCAGGACAATGCCAGCAGATATAAAGTTGTACTTATATCATAGTTGAAATGCAGCCATGACACGTGTATTGGTATTACTTCTTCAAGTTTTACTAGTGAAAAAATTCCTTGCCAATTAATTGTACTGTGAATGGGAACATGAAAAGTACAGAGAGACCTAGTCTCAAACAATTTTCTTTTGACAATGTCAAAAATATCCCAGGAGCCCAGTCTCCACACTTTCTTATTCCAAGTTTGTCATTTACTGAAATTTTATTTCAAAGTAGGTATACTTAAATACACATATCTCAGGAAGATAAGAATTATTGATGATTACAACAAGAAGTACATTTTCCTGTGGTTCTACCTGGGAAAACATTCTGGTAGTTTCAGTGCCCCTTCACCCTTTATTAAATTTCGTTTTGTAGAATTTTGCAAAGTCATCCTTGTAATGCATTTTAAGGAAGCTGTACAATGAAATAGTCTTTTCAGTGAATTACCCTTTAAACCTATAAATAATAGCACGAGACAAAGGAGATGTTCCATAAAATCTACTGTACAACTGAAGAGCTATGGATTCCATAAGACAGAAAGTTGTGTTTTGAGGCTGAAGTCTGTTTACTTCAGTCATTGCACAAGACCATCTGTAGCAAAAAGTGACTAATCTAAGTGTTTAAAAAAGGGGGAAGATTTGAAGTACAGGTATTTTCTCTCTGCATGAGCACCTTTCTGGATAAAAATCAACAGTTCAATTCAGTGGATTTTGATTGGCACATGCATCTTCTATATAAATCCTATCTGTTCTAGTGGAATTTTATTGTTTTACCTATAGATGACAATCTTGTCGTACTTGGGAATTTACCAGTTATGTATGTTATTTAAATCTAAGTCGGTGAGTTTTTACAAATGCCTTTGTATTTCTTTTTTATCATGTACCACTAAAAAATTGCACTTGCAAAAGGAGTTGGAAAAATGGTGGCTATTAACTAAGCTTTTGTTTGCAAACCAAGAAAAGAAAAAATTCATAATATTTAAGGAATTGGTTGTAAACCAGCCTATAAACATCTGTATTAGCTTTTCTTAATCATTTTCATACCCTTCTTTTTGGTTGCTACAATATATTGGTTATTGGGGCAAGGAAGAGAGAACAGACAAGCAGAATTGAACAACAACAATAAAAATACAGCTAAAGTAGTAGCGCTACATACTCTTCAGCTTGACAGAACAAACAAACAAAAACCTCTGTGATGCTTAGCTTCTTTTATGCCTTACTTTCTTCTAAAGGAAGATTATTCTTTTCTTGAGGTAGATGAAATAAATTAGAACTTCAAAACTGGTTTCTAAACTGATATAAAGCTAGGCATCAGTGACTCACACCTGTAATCCTAGCTACTGAGGAAGCTGAGATCTAAGGATTGTGACTCCAAGACAGCTGGGTAGGCAAGTGTCTGTGAGACACTTATCTCTAGCTAATGACCAAAAAGCTAGAAGTGGAGCTATGACTAACATGATAGACTGCTAACTTTGAGCAAAAGAGCTCAGGAACAGCACCAGGCCTTGAGCTCAGGCTCTGGAACTGTGCATGTACACACACGCACACGCATGCTCACGCACACACGCACATGCCCACCCACACACAGACAAAATAAATAAAATCCTAAATCCACATTCTCATTCCCCTTCAATTCCCATATTTGCCAACTCATCCTTGGTATTGAATCTTTCCATGAAGCACTTCTTTGATAGGTATAGGAGTTGTTTTCTTTTTAAATAAAATGAGGGTTATCAAGGTACCCAATTTTTTAAGGTGAGTGGAAGTATTTAATGAATCGAATGTCTATAAAGCGCTTGAGTTCACCTGGGGAGTGGCTGACTAGCGTAAACTGCCCTCAAGCTATTTGGTTTTCTGGGTCCTTTCCAGTTTTTCCAGAGGTGTCTTCTACTGGCCTTTCCTAAATCTGTTTCCCGTAAGTGTTCCTCCAATCTTATTTCCTTCTTCAAGTGTTTTGTCCCTCTCCCTTTCACGGTTATGTCCCATCTGACAAAGACCACACTGGAACCAGATTCCCAGGGTTTAACCAAGATTCCAGGAATCAACAATTTTCTCTTAAAGGATTTGGTAACTTTGTTTTCCATTCTCTTCTTACACAACTTTAAGAAACAAAAAAAGGACTTTAAGAAAACAAAATGTTTAACGTGGTTATTAAACTGAGATTATGAAACAGTAGAAACTGGTTTGTTGATGCAGAGAAAGATTTGATCAGCTAATGGTATTTCATGCGCACATATGCACACAGGAAAGGATAGATAAACTTTACAAGGTGTATTCTGCCAGAGAGTCTCTCATGTTAACTGCTAAGGAGGTTACAGATAAGGATATTCTCAGGAAGAGAATGGCTAAGTAACTTGCCTAAAGTGACACACATAGTTAGCCTTTGAATGCAAGCAGGGTGAACTCTCATAAACTTAGATTAATGCCACTGTATTGGGACTTCATGGCCCAGTGACAGGCCAACAAAGTAAGTTTACCACCGATTTAGAGGGGGAAAAAAGGTGTAAGGATGATTGAATGAAAAGGGGGAATGGACTGGGGGTATGGCACTAATGGTAGTCCACCTGCCCAGCAAGCTCAAGGTTCAGCCTTCAGTACTGACAAAATAGAGAGGAAGGAAGGAAGGAAGGAAGGAAGGAAGGAAGGAAGGAAGGAAGGAAGGAAGGAAGGAAGGAAGAAGGGAGGGAGGAAGGGAGGAGGAGGGAAGAGAGAAGGGAGTGATAAAAGAAAAATATAACTAAATATAACCCTGTGTGAAGGCTATTTTCTTAGAGAATGTGTGGGGGCAGAAGACAAGGAAGTAAGAGAATAATTCCTCATGTAACAGTAACCCCTCTGTGCAGCATCTTTACAATAAAATAAGTTTTTTTTAAGAAATGGTGTGTAAAAAAAAACACTGAAATCAAAAGTGCAAAGACTCTTACTTTGGATGTGGGTGTCAGAGAGAAATCCTATTAGTAAGGAATGTCTGGAGTAAGCCTGATGCTTGTGGAGAATGAGGTACTCAGGTAGCCAGGAAAGAACAAAGATGTAGAGGTAACAGCACATTTTCAAGTCTCTTTGATAGGAACTTGGTACGTTCAAAGAACTGTCACAAGTGTGATATGACTGAAACCAAATGAGTAAAGGCTAGAACATGTCAGGTGAGACTAGAGATGTACTCTGGGACCACACTGTTGGATGGGGCCTATTTTTTTTTTTTTTTTTGGGTCCGGTCGTGGGGCCTGAACTCTGGGCCTGTGCGCTGTCCCTCAGCTCTTCAGCTCAAGGCTAGCGCTCTACCACTTGAGCCACAGCGCCACTTCCGGCTTTTTTCTGTTTGCTTATGTGGTGCTGAGGAATCGAACCCAGGGCCTCAAGCATGCAAGGCAAGCACTCTACCACTGAGCCACCTTCCCAGCCCCTGGATGGGGCCTATTTTCAAGGAAGCATGAGTCCTTGAGACAAGATAAGACTTGTGTTCAGGGCAGTGGTGATTGCGCTGTAGTAGTGATTTCCTTTGAGTAATACTCTTTCACTTCTGACTGAAGCAAGATTTTTGTTTGTGGCTTGGAGGTAGATATGAAAAAATAATCGAGTGTCTGCAAGGTGTAAGAGTTTAACAAAATACTACTCGATTCAATTTCCATCTTTTGTACTATTTTAACAATAGGAGCTTAGCCAACAACTTCTGATCTCCTTAAGTTTGAGGTTCCCCATCTGGAACTGGGAATATTCACAACAGCCTTGAAACGCAACTGCCTTGAAAATTAACTCACTAGGACATTTGTGGTAGTTTGTGGGAAATACTTTGCACTCAAATATGTGGTCCATTCTTCAGCTTTCTTTGATAAGATGGTGCCTACACTTCTGATGTGATTCAGTTCTTAGTGTTAGATGAGTTGATATTTATACTACTTGTCACTGTTCAAAGCTCAGGAATCTGAACTCAGAGAGCATGCTTGACTTAGTA